ATTTTTGCCACTAGACACAACGCTCAACGGACACTTTTCAATTTAGGTGCAAAGGTTCTTTAGCATATAGGTTGTTCGCTAATGAAATAACAGCCCAATGCTCTAGAAACCAGGTCTATAGCCATGCACTTGTGTCTCCAAGCTCCCATTGTGTTTGCCATGATGTGTACATATAACCTTAATATTTCCATATTTGGGAAAAATGTTGAAGAAAAAACTCTTGACAAGTGGATTAAAAAAACAAACATTTTAATGTAAGTTTTTTTTAAAACAGATTACAGTGAAAAGCAACAGTAAGGTTCTAAATATCAGGTCCTTTAGCCAAAATGCTTTAGCTGCTGCCCTTCAGACTTGGGTCACTCAGTCATTCCACAAGTAACAATAAATAGGACACAATATAGCAAAGTATCCATTATTATTGTCATGTAACAGAAAAGCCAGGTATTATAGCGGTCTACTAAGAAATTAATTTAGCAGGCAATTTACGAGGTAGCTCTAAAAGAAAAAGGAAAATTTGACAAAAGATATAGGATTTTTGACTTACCAGTAAAGTACAAGACACAGGCTCTAATCTATGCAGGAAATTTAAGGTGACTGGAAGCTGGCACAAATGCTGCATGGACATCCTATTTAACCCCTCCCACTCCCTGCTAACCTCAATTTTGTAGAAAGCAAAAGAGAGACCATAATAATAGAAAAGAAGGGACCGGAATCTTAAATTGTACTCCATGAAATGCATTTTACTGGTAAATAAAAAATTCCTCATACAGTATAGGACACAGGTCCTAAATTGACTGGGCCTGCGTGATGGCAAACAATGATAAAAGGTCCAAAGGAAAGGCTCAACAGTTTCAAAGAGCAGCTTGTAGCATCAGGGGAGGCCTGAACATCCAACTGGAACAAACAAGCATTTGAACAGATGCCCAGGAAGTGGCCTTGCAAATCTGAGAAACAAATTTTTATTTTTAGTTAATTTTGTATAATTTTATATTTTATCTTTTTACATTTTTTTTGTAGGAGAGAAAAAAGAAAGGAAGAAGGAAAGAAAGAGGGTAGGAAAGAAGAAAGGAGGGAAAGAAGGATAGAGCGAAAGCAGGAACGAAAGAGAGAGAGAAAGAAAGGAGAGGAACAGGAGACTGAGAGAGAGAAGAAGGGGGGATAGAAGACACAAGGCTGGCAGGGAGTGTGGGCGGGGCAGACACAGGAGGAGAGGGCGGGAGGAGGAGGAGCGGAATCAGCTTTCTCCTCTCCCATCTGTGGTGGGTGGGGGCTGTCAGCACTGGGGACATAATATGCTGACAGATCCCCCGCAGTGCTGCAGAAGATGAGGGCATGGGACAGTCGCAGCCTTGGCCGCAGGGGGAGCATACAGGAGTCCAGGGCAGCAGGAGATGGATAGGAGGGGTGGCCGGGCGGCACATAGAGGAACTGAGAAATGCATGGCCCGGTTCCTCTATGTCCTTCCCGACCGCCCCTCCTATCCAGGCAGCCCTATCCCACCAGGCAAATGCCTGGTGTGCCCTATGGCCAGTCCGGGCCTGCCCATAGTGTAGACCATCTGGGCATGCCAGACAATGGGCTGACTTTTTATTGGGGTGCAACCTATATGCTAGAGATGGTCTGCACCTAAATGGAAGGGGGTCTGCTGTGCTGGGGGAGAGGTTTATGAGAAGGCTGGAAGAGTATTTAAACTAGGATTGAGGGGGGAGGGAGAGTTAGATTATAGTAGGGTAGACAGATCAGAAAGGGGTCAGTACTTATTGGTGGGTGGAATTGGGAAAGATGGGGGGAAGGCTATGGCATATCATAAGAAGGTTCCCATGTTACAACCAGTGGAATTGGTACTATTTGTATGAAAATAAAAAAATATGCAAAATACGTATGAACAAGGAGTCAATGGATTAAAGTGTTTGTTCATCAATGCCAGAAGTCTGCCAAGCAAAATAGTTGAGTTGGAAGCTTCGGTGTATGAAGAGATTTATGATTTAATTGGTATTGCTGAATCTTGGCTTCATTCTTCGCATGACTGGGTCATTAATATTCCTGGCTATGTTCTCTTTCGGAGAAACAGAGTAAATAGGAAATGGGGTGGCGTCTGTCTCTATGTGAGAAGTGAACTCAGAGCGCGTGTGAAAGAGGACCTAGTTGATGGAGAGTGTGATGAGGCTGAAGTATTATGGGTGGAACTGCACATGGGGGTGCGTACTACAAAGGTAATCATTGGAGTTTGTTATAGGCCTCCCAATGTTAATGAGGAGGTGGAAACTCAGCTCCTTACACAGATCGAAAGGGCTGCAAGGGCTGGGACAGTGATAATAATGAGGGATTTTAACTACCCGGAAATTGACTGGAGTAATGGTACTGCAGGAACAGTTAAAGGGCAAAAATGTTTAAACCTACTACAGGACAATTTTATGGTACAGTTCATAGAAGCCCCTACTGTTGTCTTAAAATAATGAAGTCCACACAGAAACAGTTCATAAGACAAATCTGTTGTCTAATATCAATAATGGAGGACATATGACCAGTGTATATTTATATATGTAATATTCCCGCAGCAACCAATAGTCCTTTTCCAGAGAGATGAATTTATTTGGATAAAGATATTTGTTACAGATGATAGAAATCCAGCTGAATACTTGTAAATGTTACAATGAACAACAGCCCTCAAAGTCCCATTCAAGATACTTCATATCAAGCATTGAGATACTACACCGTCCAGCATATGTCCAATCTATAATATGCACCTAGGCAGCTTCCATGCATGAAATAATGTGAGTTATGATCTCTACCTGTCCTGTCATCTGTGTTTTGTCACCCGTATCCTGACCTATGCTCTGTCCCATGTATCCCCACTCCTGCTCTGTCCCTTTGTTCTGTGACCTGAGTTAATATACACATTTTCCCCATTCATTACAATGGCAAGCACTCTGGCCACTTTTAGTAGCATGTTTGATCTTATGTGTCTGGACCTAGAACCTTCCCCTGACTCTCCATATATTTACCCAAAAACAGGTTAACCCAACACTACAAAGGTAAGGTAATTACCTCCTGCATACATTAACTTAGTAAGGTGTCCTTTTGGTGTGTAAAGTGGTCTTATCACTGAACAGTATGTGTTTCAATGTCTTCAATACATATACATATATATTACACACAATATACTACATATTCCCCCACTTGAATCTGTTTTTTACTCAAAAGCGATTCACAAATAGTGCAGATATAATCAACTAGCAGGGTTGCATTGTGATCTGAGGTATTGAATGCTTCATAATGGCTCTCATATAAAATATGAAATTGAAACTGGTTACATCTCTCTTCACCAGCCTCTAAAATATCTCAGTTATTCAATAATTTGACTGGAGTGATAACTTTCACTCACCCCTCTTATAATTTTAAAGAAAGCCTCCCAAAGTAATATACTCTTAATTTATTCTGCCCAGTCTGAGCATCAGCGTGCAAATCCTCAGACCCCTAATAAGTTATGCAATGCAAAGCCATTGTGTAGCATCTCACCTCAGGAGTTACATACTGTATATACATATGTACATATGGTTTTAAAATGACTATCAGGTTTAAATGCCTCTCTCTGGTTTTAAGACAAAAATAATGAAAATAAGGAAAAAGAAAAAAAAAATGATCTTGATAAGTCCATTAGTTTAACCAATTCAATACCGGGAACTTTTACACCTTCCTGCCCAGGCCAGTTTTCAGGTTTCAGTGCTGTCACACTTTGAATGACAATTGCGCGGTCATACAACATTGTACCCAAACTAAAATTTTACCATTTTCTTCACACAACTAGAGCTTTCTTTTGGTGGTATTTAATCACCGCTGGGGTTTTTATTTTTTGCTAAATTAACAAAAAAAGACCAAACATTTTGAAAAAAGCACACGTTTTTCTTTGTTTCTGTTATAAAAGTTTGCAAATAAATAATTGTTCTTCATAAATTTAGGCCAAGATGTATTCTGCTACATGTGTTTGGTGAAAATAACCAATATTATGATGTATTTTTTAGTTTGTAGGAAAGTTATAGAGTTCACAAACTATGGTATAGATCTGGTATTGATCAATCCTGAAGTACTGACAGCCAATCTAATTTCTTGAGGTCCAAGAATGTCAGAACAGTACAGATATTCCCCAAATGACCCCTTTTTGCAAAGTAGACAGTCCGACGTACTTCATAAGAGGCATGGCGAGTTTTTTGAAGTTGTATTTTTTTTCAATTTTTAAAGTTTCACTTTTTTCTTTTTACATATTGTCACCAGTGCAGTACAGCGTCATCATATAACTGGCATGGCGGTGATCAGGGACACTGACTAGTGACAGTATGAAAAAAAAATATATATACTGTATATATATATATTTTTTTTTTTTTTTTTTAATTATTTTTATTTTTTACATTTTTTTTTTTTTTTTTTTTCAAGATTTTTTTTCATATTTCACTATGACCAAAGTAGTACAATGTTACCATAGTAACATTGTACTACTTTGGGGAAGTGATCAGTATTTTTTTTTTTTTTACACAATTTGCTTATAGCAAAGAATTACTTTGCTATAAGCAAGCATTTACCTGAATGACATCGATTCATTCAGGGTTTTTTTTTTTTTTTTTGTGCTTAGCTGTGATTTGGCCACAGCTAATCACATGCCATGTGCATGTGATTAGCTCTGACCATTCACAGCTAGACACTAGTATACAATGGATGGCATGAATGAAGCCATCCATTGTATACAACTGTCATGTGACCTGCTGTGATTGGTCACAGCAGGTCACATGGTACCGGCAACGGGGGCGATACTCAGATCTGTCATCGGCCGTGTCTGAGGTACATGGCCTGTGACTGATCGCGCCGCTGCGCGGCTCGGCAGGAGCGCAATCTGCGCATGTGTGGGAGGACGCCATATGGCGTCCACCCGGAACGCTGATGACATTTGCCGGTCGCCATTCGGCCATATGGCGGGCGGCAAATGGTTACCCACCTCCCGCCTGCCATATAGTCCAGAGTCAGAGTCCATCAGTGCCAGCTGAACAGTGCCTCGTACCAGTGCCCATCAGTGCCACAATGCCACATATCAGTGCATACCAGTGCACATCAATGCCACAAATCAGTGCCCATCTGAGCTGCCCTTCAGTCTCACCCATCAGTGCCACCTATCAATGCCAATCAGTGCCACCTATCAGTGTTGCCAATCAGTGCCACCTATCAGTGCCAGTCAGTGCCACTTATCAGTGCCAGTCAGTGCTGCCTAATAGTGCCAGTCAGTGCCACCTAATAGTGCCAGTCAGTGCTGCCTAACAGTGCCAGTCAGTGCCGCCTGTCAGTGCTGCCTTTCAGTGCCCATCAGTGATGCCTGTCAATGCCCATCAGTGCCTCCTCATCAGTGCCCATCAGTGCTACCTATCAGTGTCCTTCAGTGCACCTTATCAGTGCCCATCACCACAGCCTCATTAGCGTACATTGGTGAAGGAGAAAAATCACTTATTTACAAAATTTTATAACAAAAACTAAGAAAAAAATGTTTTTTTTCAAAATTTTCAGTGGTTTTTTGGTTTGTTTAAGAAAAAAAAATGAAAAACCCAGAGGTGATTAAATACCACAAAATAAAGCTCTATCTGTCACAAAAAGTTATAAAAATTTCATATGGGTACAGTGTTGCATGACCGCGCAATTGTCATTCAAAGTGTGACAGAGCTGAGAGCTGGAAATTGGACTGGGCAGGAAGGGGGTATAAGTGCCCTGTAGGCTAGTGGTTAAAGTCTTTAGTAATTCATGCAAGTTGGTATCAACACAACATAGTTTTTCATGGCATCCTGTTCTTCACTTACAAATGGGCAATTCCAGTCAGACATCCCCAACATCTGAAAGACAAAAACTTCTCAAAAGTTCATTCGCCCAGTCCTTTAAACATTGTGTTTGAACATAAAACAATGTACTATTTACAAGCTAATTCACCCCCATTGCCATAGAGGTCTAATTTGCAACCTTTAGGAAAAAAAAAAAAACAATGGATGCAAACTGGGAGTTTATCCAGCAGCTTCTTTTCAGGTGGCTAAAACTATAACCACTACAAAAACAATTTGGAATTTATTTTCCACCCGACTTTAAAAAGAAACTAAATCTTGAAGGCCTCACCTTGGAAACATAAAAATATGCCAAGGTCCTCGATTAATGTTCCAAATACTGAGGCCAAATCTCTGAGAGCAGTAGCTAAATCATAATGCATGTCAAAGAACTTTAATTGGAAAAACTCATTGTTCATCCCAGTGTACTATCTGTGTGTAAATGAAGACACCTCCATTTTCAGCTCTTTCAGTTGCTCCATAAACTGAAGTCTTTCTTTCTTTAGCTGAATATTCTCAGATTGTAACCTTGTTCTTTGGGTTTTAAAAGAGACTTGGTTTTGTTTACTATGGCCTACATGCCTGGGAGAATTGCCCCACCTTGCAGAGTAAACTTCTTTGTGTCTTAGTGCAGTTTTGGGGTACCGAGAGTTCCTTTGCTTACTACTACCATTAAAACAATATCGTGCGATGTGCCCCAACCTTTTACAAGCAAAACATCTCAGAACTGGCTTCCCTGAATAAGCCCTTCTCTGAGCACATGAGGACTGAGACACATTACAATGGCTGGATTCCTGAGACTTCACACTCTCATTGTCTGAGGAACATTCACCCACAACAGACTAACCCCATGTGGTCACTGCTATTGCATTACTATTAGGGTCAGACTGAATCTCTATTTCCAAGCCTGAGTCAGTCTCAACAGCTGCTACAAAACAATTGTCTAATCACCCATCATAGACCTTACTTGCAGCAACATCACTCTGCTTCTTTAGATACATTATCTCTGCTAAACATTGAGAATGGTCAACCTTCGCACGTTCGGTACATATCTCCCGTATAGCACACTGGGCATTCTCCAAACATTCTTTAACAAATGTAATCTCATTGTGTAATTTTGTATTTTCATTAGTAATATGCTTACTGTCTGCATTAAATACAGCAGCCTGCTGGGCAAGAAATTTCACATTTTCAATTTCAGCTTTTTAAAAAAACTCCACCTCATCTTCCAATTTTTGCTTCTGATGAAAAACAGATTTGTATTGCTCTGCTATCCAGCCAGCAGCAGAAATGAGTACATACTTTGCCTTATGTGTGTTTAACTTTTTGCCACAAATCTTTTCATCCACCCATTTTTGTGCTTGCAACCATGGGTCAGCAGATCCTTGTATAGGATGAACAATAGCCTCATTGTCCTTTTACTTGTGCCACCTTTTTCAAATTCCCTCCATTATTGAGATACAAGTACTGTATACTTAGCACAAAAAGCAAGATTAATGCCACCAAACACTGCTGTTTGTTGCACAATACACTTTAACAAGCAATACAAAAAAAATGTATACTCTCAACAAAAGTAATGACTATCCATAGAACAATTAAAAAAAACAAAATACCCATCTGTTAATAAGGAACAAGGTACACTCACCAACTACTTTGGCTCCTAGACTTATGATCTTTTCCTGGTCCTTCTTGGAACCTCACGGTCTTCTGTCACCTCGTAGGATCATTGGATTCTCATAGAATTCTTCTGGTACACAGCACAGTCCTTTTTTTAGTTTTCCAGCCTCCAGATAATAATTCTGGGTTTCAATTTGTGAATCAGACCCCTTAAGTCACCACCAGACTTTTGAGTCTTCTGGATCCACCTCACAGGATCATTGGATTCAATTTGTGAATCATCCCCTTAAGTCACCACCAGACTTTTGAGTCTTCTTGATCCACCTCCCAGGATCATTGGATTCTCATAGAATTCTTCAATTTGTGGGTCAGACTCTTAAATCACAACCAGATTTTAGAGTCACAGCACAGCTTCAAGGTCTACCTCACAAAACTGTTGTCATCACCGACTTCTGTTACTGAATCTGAAAATGCTCTTCTGGTCACTTGGACGGCACCAATGCCGTCTGCTGGACCTGGTAATCTCAAACCATGCAGAGCTTATTATGAATGTCCATATAAAAGAACATCTGGGTAGCAGTGACCATAGTATGATTTCATTTATTAGCTGTAAACAGCGAGCACATACAGGAAAAATAAAAACTCTCAATTTTAAGAGAGCTAATTTTCCAAGGCTGAGAGCTACTCTCCAAGACTTAGACTGGGAGGGAATATTGGCATCGATGAACACAAGACAAAAATGGGAGTTCTTCAAAAAAGACTGTATGTGAACACACTGCAAAATATATTCCCATGGGCAACAAGTTTAAAAGGCTAAAAATCAATTTTCTGTGGCTTACAGCCAAAGTTACACAAGCTATAGATAATAAGAAAGGAGCTTTTATTAAAATATAAAAATGAAGAAACACTATCATCATTTAAACATTACAAAGAATATAACAGAATATGCAAAAAGGAAATAAAGGCCGCAGAAATTGAAAACGAACGACAGATTGCAAAAGATAGCAGGACCAACCCCCAAGAATTCTTCAAATATATTAATAGTAAAAAGGCCAGGTCTGAGCATGTAGGCCCTTTACAAAATAATCTAGATTGGGTGACTGGGGACAAAGAGAAGGCAAATTTATTGAATACCTTCTTCAGCTCTGTGTATACAAAGGAGCATGGGGGGGAGCTCTTGTCCATAATGGGCATGATATTGACACAGCTCCTAATGATCACATTGGCTCACAATTGATATAATCCAAAAATATATAGACAGTATAAAGGTGAATAAAGCACCTGGACCGATGGCATACACCCACGGGTTAAAGAATTGCGCTCTGTCATTTCAAAGCCATTGTTTCTAATTTTTAGGGACTCTAATGACTGGCATAGTACCACCGGTCAAAATCTTTACCAAGTAATTATAGACCTGTTAGTTTAACTTCTATAGTTGGGAAGATATTGGAGAGTTTAATAAAAGACCACATAGATGAGCTCTTGCTGGAAAAAAATATTTTAAGCAACAGACAGCATGGATTCATGAAAGACAGAAGTTGTCAAACAAATATATTTATTTTTATGAGGAGGTGAGCAAAACCTTGGACAGAGGGGTGGCGGTGGACGTGGTATACTTGGATTTTGCAAAAGTGTTTGACACAGTTCCCCACACATGGCTAATGTGTAAGGTAAAGTCTACAGGCTTGTTAAAATCCATATGTAAATGGATAGAAAACTGTCTAAAAGATCGTATTAAAAAAAGTAGTGCTTAATGATTCATACTCTGAATGGTCTATAGGGTCGTCAGTGGTGTACCCCAGGGTTCAGTGTTGGGACCCTTACTTTTTAATATATTTATAAACAATATAGGGTCTGGGATTAAAAATACCATTTCAGTCTTTGCAGATGACACCAAGCTGTGCAGTGGAATAACATCCTTACAGGATGTCTTCAATTTACAAGCCGACCTCAATGCACTGTTTAATTGGGCAACTATGTGGCAAATGAGGTTTAATGTGATAAATGTAAGGTTATGCACTTGGGGGCTAAGAATATGCATGCATCATACATACTAGGGGGAGTACAACTGGGGGAATCAATGGTGGAGAAGGATCTGGGAGTTCTGGTAGAGCACAAGCTTAATAATGGCATGCAATGCCAAGCTGCGGCTTCTAAAGCGAGCAAAATCCTCTCTTGTATTAAAAGAGGTATAGACTCCAGAGAGAGAGATATCATGTTACCCTGTACAAATCATTAGTAAAACCTCATCTGGAATATGCAGTTCAGTTTTTGGCACCAATTCACCAAAAGAACATTGGGGAACTGGAGAAAGTACAGAGAAGGGCAACCATACTGAAGAGGCATGGAGGAGATCAGCTATGAGGAAAGATTAGAGGAACTGAATTTATTCTTTCTTGAGAAGAGGAAATTAAGGGGGGATATGATCAACATGTATAAATACATCAGTGGTTCATATAGTGAACTCGGTGTAGAGCTATTCACCCTGAGGTAATCACAGAGGACAAGGGGGCACTCTTTACGTTTGGAGGAAAAGAAATGTAATCTTCAAACACGGAAAGTTTTCTTCACAGTGAGAGCTGTGAAAATGCGGAATAGACTCCCTCAAGAGTTGGTTCTGGCCAGCTCAGTGGATTGCTTCAAAAAAGGCCTGGATTCTTTCTTAGATACACAGAATATAACTGGATACTAACATTTATAGGTAAGGTTGATCCAGGGAATATCCGATTTGTCTCTTGGGGGATCAGGAAGGAATTTTTTTTCCCAGCAGGTGAAAATTGGATCATGCTTTGCTGGGTTTTTTTTTGCCTTTCTCTGGATCAACTGTGGGTATAGGATTATAACTTTTTTTTTTCTATGGTTGAACTGGATGGACTTTTGTCTTTTTTCAGCCAGACTGACAATGTAACTGTGTAAATACACTACATATTCAGATGAGCATGTGTGAAACTCCTGAATCTTGTATGATTTCCCTTTTATACTAAAATCTTTTTGGCCATGCTTAGTGAATTGCCATGTCAGACAGGACGGTTTGTGGCATC